GGCGGCCCTCCCCCCCGGCTGGCCGGGCTGTTCCTGCGGCGCTTCCTGCGGCTGCAGGCTGTCCTCTTCCCCGGCTGGCCCTCCCCGGGCGCCCTGATGTTCCTGACGCTGCTCTGCGTCGCCTTGCTGGGTGAGCCTGGGCGGTGGGGATGGGGGGCTGCTCCCCGTTCCCCCGTGCTCCCCCCCGCCCCTCGCCGTGCCGCCGCTGTCCCTCATTGCCTTCCCGTGCTCGCCTCTCCTCCAGAGCAGCTGGTTATCTACCAGGTCGGCGTCATCCCCAGCCAGTACTACGAGGTCCTAGGGAACAAGGACTTCTCCGGGTTCCAAACGCTGACCGCTGTTGCCCTGACTCTGATCGTAGTGAACTCCACGGTAAGACAGGCCCCAGGCTCCCCTGTCTTGGGAGGGGAGGGGAAGGCCACCCATGGCTCCTGGCGTGATCCTGGTGACGAAGGATCTAGGTCTGCCCTTGCCCTGTTCGGTCGCTACGCGTGGGGCGGATCACTGGTACAGACTGTTAGCTTTTATTTCGTTTTGGGAAATGCTTGTTCGTCTCACTCATCTCTTCCTGTCTGTCTCCTTGCCCTCGTTCCAGCTAAAAAGCTTCGACCAGTTTATCTGCAACATGATGTACGTGAGCTGGAGGAAATCCCTCACCGAATACCTCCACAGCTGCTACTTCCAGGGCCAGGTCTACTACAGCCTGCATGTGCTGCGCGAGGACATCGATAACCCGTAGGCTGCCTGTGGCTTCTCTCAGCCTCTTGCTTGGCTTCTCATGGGCTGCTCCGTGCCTTTTCCTGACTTCTCTGTGTCTCTGGGTAGGGACTTGAGCCCTAGAAGCTTTTGCCACCTAGGCACAAATACCCTCGCCTGCCCTGGGTGGGAGGTGGTACCTGTTGCTGGGAACTCCTGTGACTGCTGGTTGTGATGGTTTTAGGGGCAGGATGTTTCTGTTGCGAGGAAAATGGAGGCCTAGTGCTGCTGTAAAACATGCTGTCTGCAAACTCAACCCTTGACACTCAGTGTGATGTTGTAAATGGCCTGGCTGGATTCAGAGAGCACTGCCGCTCCTTGGCCTTCACGCAGCCAGTGCGTTAGGACGGTCCCTGTTGTTCTGTTTGAACTTCAGCCCCCAGAGTCTCCAGCTGAACACAGTTTTGTTTAGTTGGGTTTTTAGTGTTTTTGATAACCCATGGGAGCCATGTCCAGGCAGGGCTTTGTTTTGCACTGTATGAGGGCTGCATTTCCTCTTTCCTGTTCCTAGGAAGGAAATGTCAGGGGTGACTTGAAATATGAGAGCAGGAGGAGCATTATCCCAGCCCTCCTCGAGATCCCCTTCCAGTTTGCTTCGTGCACTGTCCTGTTTACTGCAGAGCTGCTGATCTACCTGGGCTGTGCAGCAAAGGTTGAATGCCTCCCTTCCTCAAAACTGCCTGCTGACCCTGGCCTTCCAGCCTGTCCTTGCACGCAGGACACTGCTGTCATAGTTACGCACTTTGAAGAGCTAAAGATCCTACATTAGATATCATGTGAGAGGTAGAGGCGTTTTTTTCCCTCCAGAGTTTAAAGAAGTTATTAAATACTTGCTGAAAAACTAGACACCATGGGATAACTTTTTCCAAATTTTGTGGCTTTATGCAGTTGTTTTGAGACCACGAGCTCTCCTTCCCTGGAGGGGGGCACCCCTGGTCTAGTCATTGCACTGGTGCCATCTGCCACGTTGGTGGCACCAGAGGAGCCCAAGCCTGGGGTTCCCGTGGGAAGTGGCTGTCTTGCAGGGACTCCTAACTGTTGCTAATAGTGGTGACCTCAAAGAGCTGAAGCAGGCTCTGTGCTTCTGCTGCCCAGTGCTCCTGGCTGCCTGTCCTTGCCTCTTTGTTGCACAGTGCGGTGGTCTGTGTGGCTGCACAGTGAAATTGTGCTGGGTATCTCAGATGTTTTTTTGTCTGTATCGTTTTTCAGCCAGACCTGTTCCCTGGCTGCTAGGAGACAGCTCGAGTAAGAGCAACTGGCTGTGCGCAGGGGGAGCTGCAAGCAAGGAGAGGGCTTAGCTTGGGTCAAACAGCCCTACTGCCACACATGAAATCACAGCTTCATGATGCTGATGTGCTTTCTAGCCGCTGTCGGGTTTACTCCCACCCTTGTTAAATGTTCATTTCTGATAGTGTTTTGCAGTGGTATGGAGTTGCAAGGAGAGGTTAAAAAGCCATGCCTGTCACCAAGGCATGCAGCGCTTCCCAGGCAGTGTAGCACATTGGCCGTGGCCAGAAGCCCCTGCACGCCTGTCTTTTCCTTTGATGGGGGGGGGGGGGGGGGAGGGGGCAAGGGCCCCTCAACAAATCC